CTGTGCCTCTACAGAACCACCAGTTTCCTCTTTCTAATGTCAGGTTTTCATCTTCCTGTGAGCGCCCTGCACTTTACAGAACGTCCAATCCAGACGGATAATTTCTGTTTTTCCTTTCAGTCGGACTAAAAAAAAAATAAAGATTTAGAACGTTTCCTGTAAAAACCAGCTTTCTTTAAGGGTCCGCGGGGAGCTCGTGTCTTCTGTCCGACTAAAGCATTTCCCTGAATCTCTATTAAGGAGGTGAAAGGTGTGGAATTAGCCTGACATCTATTTGGAAACGCAGCAGGTTGAAATAAAGCTTCGCTGCTGTCCTCACAGCCTCTTCTCCTGCAGCCGCAAATATAAATTTAATTACAATATGATTTTCTTTTCTTTCCTTTTTTATATTCAATCTAATGTGCTTTTCCAAAGTATTTTCACAGCTGCACTTTGGTCTGCTGGTATTATTACATTTTCCTGTTCGCTATGAGCCGCCGCCTGCTGTATTGAATCAAGGTGCTACATGATTTCATAAGAGGAATAGTGCAGGAATACAGATTTTATGCAAACAGTAACAATGAACACTGAGGGGAATAAAAAAAGAGAGATGTATTCTGCTGGAAATGAATCTGAATAGTGGCGGCCTGGGCGCTCGGGGCTGCAGCTTTCCATCCTCTGCAGCGACTCTGAATATCAACACGCAGGTCAGAAGCAGCCAAACCGTCTTCTGCACTGTCTCACAGCCAAACCAATCCACCGACTGCTACTCGCCAGATGACCCGCGCCGCTTCCCGCCGCCGGTAACGATGCAAAGCAGCCTCGGAGTGGGCAGCAGTTCGCTCACGACATCTTGTTGTGTTTGCGTCGGGCTGAGATGTTGTTGAACAAGTCAAACCGGGTGATGGTTGTTGTGCTGCTGCTGCTCTGCTGCTCGGCTCTTTCAGGCCTGTTTTTATGCTTCTCTGAGTAATTTTTTAAAAAACGCTGATGTTCTTACGCAAAAGAAACCGGTTGTGTCTTTCCCTCCTGTCTGTGGAATACGATATAGTGAACTATGAAGAAGCTCCTCAGCAAAGTGAACACGTTTAGACTCGAGTCTCTAATAATTAAAATAAAAACACATCAGATCAATGCGCCTACACTACAGTAGTGAACCAACTGCATAAACTAATAACAGAAAATACCTTTCTTCTGTGTCTGTATTGTCATAAGTTGCTCTGCCTCCATTAAACATCTCAACACGAATGATTATTTTTAATTTTAACATTTTCACACCAAAACTCACAGGTTCATCTCGTGCCTGTTGTCATTTAGACAAACTACACATGTAGAAAAAAATATATTCTGTAGAAAGTATGTCTTCAAATACATGTTAACACTTTAAAATATAATGCAAGGGAATACGTCTTAATACCAAAAAAAACTTTAAAGACTAGAAAATGTGTCTTAACACTATAAAAATGCATCTAAATGCTATAAAATACACTTTCACAATATAAAATATGTCGTGATGCTAGAAAATGCGTCTTGATACTGTAAAGATGCGTCTTCATACTAGAAAAATGCATCTTAATATTAAATAAAAAATGTGTCTTAACTCCATAAAATGCATCTCAATACTAGAAAAAATGCATCTTAACACTAGAAAATGCGTCTTAATACCTTAAAAATGTGTCTTATTACTCGAAAATGTGTCTTAATGCTAGAAAAATGCATCTAATTACTATAAAAATGTGTCTTAGTACCATAAAAATGTGTCTTAATACTACAAAAATGTGTCTTAATACTACAAAAATGTGTCCTAATACTAGAAAAATGCGTCTTTGCACAATAAAACATGCGTCAGATATCTGTGGAAATGCCTCCAGTCCTCATTTCTGTGGTCTGTCTGTCATTCTCCTGTGATGCATCATGGTACAATGTGCTGATTAGTGACCATCTTTACTTGTCCTGGTGCATTGTGGGAAACTCTGAGTGACTGCACAGGGTGTAAAATAAGCAGTAAAACAAGGAAAACGCACAACATAATTTCAGACACAGCCTCAGATCTGGAGGCCAAACTCCCATCAAGCATCGATGTAAGCATGAAAGCTGGACCTACGTTTGACCCTGGCGTCCAGCTCCTTCTCCATGAGTTCTTTGGATGTGGAGAACTCACTCAGGGTGATTTTCGGCGTGCTGTCGCCTTGACCCACCGAGCCGATCATCTCCTGCTCCTTCTCCTGGTTCACCTCGGCGTAGATGTTGATCCAAGGTATTTTTCTGAAGAGGAGATCGAGAGAAAAAAAGAGCCACGAGAACCATGTTAGAAAAACAAGTGAAAACAAGAAAGTTTTGAGTTTTTTCACGGCCTTCTTAAATCCCCAGTCATGTATTCAGCAGCTAATTTCAAAAGAAAATAGTTCTGTTTCCCGACGCCGATAAGAGAAACTTCGGCGTGGTCTCGAAAATTACAATAACACTGGTATCTTTCCCCCATCTGCATTTATAACACCTAATATACATCTTTATTTAGTCACTATCCAATTTATTTCCAATTACTTTTCATTTTGGTTATTAATTGCTCTGTTTTGTCAACTGTGAGATTTCTTGAAAAATGCATCCTCTTTAGACTAATGGGAAAAATTTCATATCCATAATTAATGACAGCTTTCCCATTTTCAAGAGATTCATTTTGAGTATGAATAATTTATTCAGCAAATAAGAGCCGCGGCACAGAAACCGCATATTAAACCATTTAATAGTCTGTTTTTTTTCCCCTCCTTCCTGCATTTTAACAGTGATTGGTGCACGTGTCTGCCGAGGAATGATTGAAAAGCACGACCGCAACCTCTGGAGGGACTCAAACCGGCAAACTGGGCTGTAATTGATGGGCTCATCTGGCGTCATCAATAATGGAGAGCATGGTAATAGATACGGTTCTACAAGCTGCGGCTGTAAGTGCAGCAGGTGGAAGTAATCAGAAGGAAGATGCGCACCTCTTGAATTTGTAGATGAGGAAGACGGCGAGGCCCAGAAACACCACCGAGAGGAGCATCAGCATCGCCGAGCTGCTGTGTCGAGGGCTGGAGTCCACCAACGGAGCTGTGGGGGGGCGGAAAAGGGGACACGGAGAAGGTTTGTCTTCATTTTTAACTTCCTGCAAAGAAAAATCTACACTTTAACGTACTGATGTAACATAATATACATGAGGAATGCCCCACTTAGCCTGCTGCCACTCAGATGAATAGAAATTTACGTCTCCGAAATTTACCAGCAGGTTTGATGCGGTCGTCGTCACCATTTGGGGTGGAACAGAAAAGAATTTTCATTGCAGCGTACAACAAAATTAAGCATCTCTAAAGTAAGAAATGTGCAAATATTTTCTATGAACATTTGGTAGAGAAATCATATGTGGTGACTGAAAACAGTGATAAAGCTTGTGGTTCTACAGATAACTATTTAGTGGCGTAAAAACTATGGTAACGTAAGTGGTGGATGGTGCCAACTGGTGCACATGTACAACAAAGTAATAGCTGAAAGTAGTGCCAGATCACTTTGTTCGACATGTCTCGTTTAATAATTTGCCTAAAATAAACTAGATTTTGTCAATAATCCATGAAGTCGGGGTTTATCTTCTGTGTAGACCTTCACAGCAAAGTGTCGGACCAATGAACCGACCAGTCATCACGCAAATAAAATAACTTAAAACGTGGCTGAAAGTTTCTAGAATTAGTCATTTGCAGCAGATCAAGGCCCAAAATGATCGTTTCTCGTATCAAATTCAGATTTGTAGTGAATTTTCACACGACCAACTGCTTTCTTTTGGCTGGAAACGGCATAAACAAGTGACAGAAGACAGGAAGACATTGACTTTTTATAAACGCCACCAAACTGTCTCCACTGGGATTCTGTTCCTCGTTGGGTTGAAGCTTCCTCTCCGTCACTCTGGTCTCCAGCTCCTCCACAGATTCTTGTTGTTGTTCTGAATTCACCATTTCTTTGGCTGAAAGTTCCACATCATCGTCTTGTTGGAAGTTTTTCTGCAGACCATCCGATGTCTTCCACCACAACCTTCACCTTGCTGTTTACTTGATGATGTTCTTGGAGTTGAATGCTTCTCCTTTTTCATTTTCATGCCATCCAACCACAAAACTGATAACCAGAAGCTTTTGACTTTGTCAAGTTGAATCTACGGAGAAGTGGAGTCCATGGAGACCAGCCTTGTTCAGTTGTTGTTACAGTCATGGTTTTGGTGCTGGTCCTTGGATTCTTCTTGGACATTCTTACCACTGCAGGAGTCACTTTTACCTTCCTAGAAACCTTTTGAGATGTTTCACAGTGTGGAACTTCTTGGACTTTTTCATGACGCTTTGCACTGTGGACATTGGACGCTAGAAACACTTGAACGTGGCCAAAATACGCAACTTTCTCTCAGTGATGGAGCCTCATAACGAAGCTTGTTTTCTACTGACAGAGAACCACTGTGTCATCTCTTCTAAGCTGATGGTTAATGGGGCTCTCTACAACATGGTAGAAAAGATCAGGACCATGACTATGACCAATTCTGGACATGGCATTTTTAGCAAAAATAAAAGGAAGTAACATATAAATAGCTAAAATTCAAAATTAACATCGCAATCTCTCGTTACATATTTAGTCTCTTATACATGTCACTTCCAGTCAGAAGAAACCTTAAAATTCACTACAAATCAACATCTGGCATGTGGTATACATCATTATGAACTTCAGTGTCTATGCTGCCTATAGCGACGATGCGTTATGAGATGATGCTCTTATTTTTAATATCTCAAATGTCACAAAGGTGCGGTAGCATGAAATTGCTGTTTCTGATGCCATGCGGCGAAGTGTGTCAGAAGCACAGAGTCCACACATTTCAGCTGGATTTGAAATGGTTAAATGCACGTACATTAATCTCAAACGAGAAACCGACCAAACACGCATCCGGCATGATTAATATCACACGACGTGGTTTAAGCTCGCGAGGCGTCCGACCCAAATTCTTCTCATTATTTTTGAGGAACGCATTAATTTCTGTCGTCGAAGGAAAAATCGCAGGTTTCCGCGGCGCTCCGGAATCGGAGGCACGTTTGCCGCTGACCTTTCTCCAGAAGCTTGAAGGCTTCTTAGACCTTTTTCTCGGGAGGTGAAATATAAAGAGGGATCCAGCTGGGTACACCTCCAATGTCATTAGAGAGCAGCACATGCCAGGCTGTTAATACGCTGCACTTTGAGCTACAACATCTCATGGCTGTGTGCACCTAATGAAACCAGCCAAGCAACGAATACGAGCCACCATGTGTCCGGCAGCAGCAGCAGCAGCAGCAGCAGGGACGAGAGCTGCTGAGGATTAGCCAACCCTGAGCCAATAAAAAAAAGTAGAGTTTTCCAGTCATACATTGTTATTTACAATCACTGTGCCACCACGAATCAGCGCTGATTTGATGCTCAACAACAGCAATTTGCTTTGCTGCCAAGGAGAGGGTCTCGAATGTCAGCCAGCCTTCTGATTCCAAGCAGTTAAGAACCGAGCAGTGCTGTTGACTTCTCGAGCAATTCCGAATTCTGCTTCTGCCCTCAAATTGTACACTGTTCTTTCTCAAGGACTAAATAATCAACATAATTATACTCAGTGTAACACTCATTTTGTGGTTGGATGGCTGTAAAAGAAATAGAACAGATGTTCAGCTTTTGATGGCGGGCATAAAAGATCCCTCGTCTCAAGGAGCTCCACTTAAAATCAAACCCCCTCCCTCGTTCCCCTGCGTCCTTTCGCTTGGGATGGAGGCAGGCTGACAGGAATTTTAATTGGTGGACCAAAGAAAAATTCCTGTTGTCAAAACACGGTCATTACACCTCGGAATGAGAGACAAGAAAATAAGAAAATGCTCGGGCGTGATTTAATTACCCCGGGGAGTTGGTATCGTGGTTGTTGATCAGTCAATGGCAGTATTGACGGGACACGTTTGGTTCTTACCCAGCGTTAACTGTGTGTTGTAGACGATCACCCTGACGCCAGGCTTCAGCTCAAACTCCACCAGGTTTTGGTTCAGCGCGCTGACGATTATGTCGGATGCCTGTTAAACACATACAACAGGGGTTATTTTAGCTTTGCAGGTGATGAACTGTTTGTTAAAGAGCCCATATTTTGCCAAAGGGAGTTTTTTTCCCCCCACAGAAAACACAAATCCTGACGGTGTTGACGTCAATCCAAGTCCTACGTTAGCAGATAAGTCGCCCCTTGTCCACCTTCAGGTTTGATTTGTTTAGCGTTAATGGAGCCAAGATCAGTCCTTTATCCTTACATATCTTTATTTAAAGCTCCACAGAAATGGTTTAAAGGCAACAAGGTGAATGTTCTGGAGGCCCAGTCAGAGTCCAGACCTCAATCCAACTGAGAATTATGTCTGGACTTGAAAAGTTCTGTTCACTCATGATCCCTGTGTAAGCTGACAGAGTTTCAGCAGTTTCACAAAGAAGACGGAGGTAAAATTGTTCAGATGTTCAGGCTGATTGAGACCAACACAGGATCAATGCTGGAACTGCAGCCAAAGGTTCATCAACTAAATACTGACTTGAAGGGGGTAAACACTTATGCACTAGCTTATTTTATGTTTTATTGTTTAATTAATTGACGTTACTTTGAAGAAATCTGTTTTTTTTCAGTAGACTAGGGTTAACACAAAGTGTTTTGGGTAGAGGTGCATGTAAGCATATTCTAGTAGACCCTAAAATACAATCATCAACCTGTAAATAAGGACAATATGGGCTCTTCAAACCCAGCAACAGTCAGCCGTACCCGCTCCAGCTCCTCCTCGCTCTTTTTCTTGCCCTCTGATTGGTTCTTGTGAGGTAACAGGAAGAGCTCAGCGGCTGTTGGAACTCCTGGGAACACGGCGACCAGAAGCTGTTCCTCCGGGAAGTCCGACACCTGGCACAAGGTAGAAGGACGCTTCGTTAGACATCACACTGTGGATTCTAAAATAACATTAAAAATCACTCAGCCAGCTTGATGGGAATGGGTCATTCTGGTCACATCTGGACTGTATGGGGAGTTTTCTAGAAGGTGTTGTACGTCTACATGACATTTAGCTAACATGTCATCATTTACTGGAAAATAAAACACCAGTGAGCAAACATTCAAGCAGATCTGTGAAGGTGAGCTAAATGCAAACCGTCATAGCTTAGCATGTTAGCATTTTCTCACAGAGCTCAGTATAGCAGTGAGTGACGATAAAACCTACAAAGAAACCAAAGTTCAGATTTTTTTTTAAACGCACAATAACTTTAGTTTATTTAATGAAGCCGTTCAAAGATTTACCTTCAGACTATGAACATTTTCAGGCTCTCAAACAGAAGCGCGGCTCGAATTTTCACACTTTATAATTTACTTTTCCATCGTTTCTGAGCCTCATAACTTCATCAGCAGATAGATGCCTGACATTTTCAGAGCTGAAAAAACACATCGGAGTTCTGCTAAAAACTGCAACCGAATCAATTTTTACATCCACTCCAGGTGCGACAATCTGCAGCCAAAATCTCAATTTTGTGAAGCACGTTTATTTTTCTGTAACAGATGGAATCATGGCTGGAAGATGACCTTTAAAAGTTTACCCAAGACGCACTTTTTTAAGTTTTCTCTGGTGAATTAACAGAAAACAGAAAACACACTGAGAATACCAGTGATTGTTTCTATGACTCTTATAGACAATAAACTGCTGCAGTTCAAACTATGATACATCCCATAATACTGATGTTTGATTTAGTCTTTTGCAGTGGATGTAAAACTGAACTGGTTGCAATTTTTAAGGTTTCACGTGTCTATCTTCTGTATTGATTATGTTTCGTGGCTCAGAAATGATGGAAAAAAAGCAAATTAAAGGACGACCCACCTCTATGGACTTCAAGGGCCTGGAAATTAACCCCCTAACCCATCTTGGTAACACCTTCAGCCAATTACTTTGGGCTAATAAGACCAGGCGCCTAAATTACAAGTTAAGTTTAACGTATCCAGGATATATTTCATAATCTGGCTTCACTAAACTGAATAAACGTCATGCAAAGCTGGTCAACCAGAGTGTCTGATACCCTTTTTCCACCAAACCGGCTCCAGCTCTAGTGCCTGATAGTTCTTTGTGTTTCCACCACCTAAGCTCCAGCTTCTCAAAACTGGTGCTCAGCAAGCACCAACTCTTTGCTGGGCCAGAGCTAAGCACCGAGTACGTCAGGGGCTGGGGGCGGGGTTATGGTGACCACCGAGGCCGACGAATCACAAGCGATGATTTATGTTGTTCTTCACCAGGACGTCCCTCGTCCGATCACAGATGTACTGGAATGAGTCCTGGGTAAAACTAACCTGTCTCACGATGGTCTAAACCCAGCTCACGTTCCCTATTAGTGGGTGAACAATCCAACGCTTGGTGAATTCTGCTTCACAATGATAGGAAGAGCCGACATCGAAGGATCAAAAAGCGACGTCGCTATGAACGCTTGGCCGCCACCAGCCAGTTATCCCTGTGGTAACTTTTCTGACACCTGCTGCTTAAAACCCAAAAAAGTCAGAAGGATCGTGAGGCCACGCTTTCACGGTCCGTACTCACCGCGGCCACCAACAGCAGCTACCACAGCCTGCTATGTGGGGCGTTCAGGGAACATCGCAAACTGTAGCGTCTATCAAGAAGAAACTGTTCAGCAAGTTGTATGTTTTGCCTGTGACAAGGTGGGAAAGTTGGTCGCACCAGTAAAAAAGTCAGTCTGGAGTCCTGTGTAGACTTCTGAGTGTTGTTCGGTAAACGGCTACGTATGCAGTGACATATGTCGTGGGCCTAACTTGGATCCTTGTAGATGGAAAAGCAACCAGTTCTTAGATTGGATCCAACGAAGCCATAGCACCAACATGTAACTAAAACCTGGTTCTTCATGGTGGAAAAAGGGGTTTGAATGTGACTGTATTGGCACCAGATGACCAGACGTGGACAGATCAGCGACACATTTCTCTAAAATCTTCAGCAAATGAGAGGAATTCAAAACTATACTACAGCACAAGTCCATCTTAAAACACTTCTAATTCCATTCCACTGGATGTGCTGCTCGCATGAAGCCTGTTTTCGTGGTGCGTGAGACAGTTATTCCTTCAGCTGCCGGCGTGAAACCGTCTCGGGAGCCAAAGAAAAGCAAAGATCAAATATAAAAACAGAATTAAAACCGGTGAGTCGGCTAAGCGCAAATCTGAAAAGGTCAACAAGGCTTTCGTGCTTTGTCAGTTCCTGTTTCAGGATCGTATCGCCGCACAAAGGCTCAGAGAACAATGAAACGGGTCTGAACTTCTAGCTGTCAACAAAGAAAGAAAAAAATAAAATAAAGCACAGAGTTGTGTGCACTGAGATCTCTCATATTTCTGCTCATCAGGGAAAGAAAAGGGTTTAGACGGACTCTTAAGGGTCCTGCCCTTCTCGGAGACCCTCCATTATCTGCACACCAGCTCAATAAGAAGCTGATTGGTCGGTAGGACGTGTTTTATTCTCACTGATCCGTTATCTTGAATATAAGCAGAACCACGCTCTACATTCATTATATCTGTAAGCTTATCTATGATTTGCACATTTCTGTATCTCTCTCGTATATATATTTATATTATACTCTCTATATTTCTATCTCATTTATAATATTCTGTGTTGTCTGTTTGCTTTTGTTTACCCTCTTTGCTGAACAGTCACGCTGCTGTAACAACCGGATTTCCCTCTGGGGATTAATAAAGTCAGTCTAAGTCTAACCGGCCATAAAAAAAACACAGAATTAACCCTGAAGTTACCACAAATCCTCCTCAGACATCTGTTCTTTGTCACAGCTGTGGATTTAATGGTCACCAGGACGTAAATAAATACTAATTTACAGGAAAGAAAAATCTCCCGTAGACCAACTGTCAGCGTGTTTTTTCCTCACCTTGAAATATGAGGCTCACTGACCAACAATACCTCAGAAACTATTAAAGATAAACACCTGAAGTTTTCACTGTGATTTCTCATCATGATGTCAATTCAGAACCTCCGATATTGGATAATTCAAGAATAATGATAATCTAAAAATGAAAAAAAAAGGAAAGCTTGGAATGTTTTCTGAACCACGTGTAGCTTCATGTCACAATAATGCAACATCAAATATATACACAGTCGTGACTCGATAATCCGACACTAAATGTAAAACCTTCTTTTATGTCGGATTGTCAAGACAGAGGTCCAGATACGAGGAGGGCTTGATGCTGGAAGGATCATTAGTTGTTAATATTCATTGTTCATAGTTGTTACAATGACTAGTAGGGCTGGTCCCAATAGCCCCAATAGGCCCAATTAATGATGAATATCAGAATATTTGGTGCAGTCTGGGGACACTTCCACCCCGGGGCAGCGCTCTGACGGGGTGGAAGTGTCCAGAACACACAGGCAGTACTTGGCTGCTGATGCTAGTTTAGTTAGCGCTCACACTTCTGTTTCCTCCATCGGTGGCGACGGGGGAGGGGCAGATACGCTCCACCGTTACCATCCATGTTTACTTCCATAAACACTGAGCACGCTCGCTGCGTGTGACGTCGTCGTGTCCTCTTCTGCGCATGCGGGACACTTTTGGCTCGTATGAAGTTCACACAGCAGATCACATACAAGTCGCATTGAACTGGAAACGTGAAGGAAGTCACAAAAGAAATCCTCATTGAGCATCAAGTCCTGCAGTGTGAACGTAGCCAATCTGTGGGATTGTTCAGTCAGATAATACGCCGTCATCCTGACTGGTGACATTAAATGTCATGTCGGAGTCAGAATCCAAGGCTGTCGCTATGTTAAGGCTGTTTTTATGGGTTGTGTCGGATAGCAAGGTTTAGGATTGTTAAGGGTCAATTATCGAGTCACGACTTTTACAACCGATTGAGCAGGTTTGACAAGTTGTGCCACCAAAACACAAACACCAGTGGCTAAATCTTCTGTTCTGGAGTTTCAAATTAGTTCTCCAAATATTACTAAGATTTAATTTTTTAAATTATTGACATATGTTTTATTTTCATGCCCTCCTTTGCAGATATAAACCCTGTTTGTTGGGGACTTCTCCAGTAGTTCTGTGTATTTTTTCCTGCGTATTTATTGTGATAACGGACGACGTTTTCCTGCCTTGACATATTTTTAAAGCTAATTTCGTGTTGGAACCTGAGCAAGACTTTAGCGGTGAATTTATTCTCCTGATCGTCGTGGAAACCGGATCAAAACGGATTCTCTTGCCGGATATTTTATGGAGAACAAACTTTAAAGTCACAGCTGGAAGTTGTGGGAACATTTATTTTCACAGAAACCGCTGAAGACTTTACATTCAGAAACGTTTATGAATTCAATAAGCGCGACAGGAAGGAGTTCGTTCTGTTTCTGCAGAGAGACGAAATGAAAAAAAAAAAAAGTTTGGAGCAAATCAAAAACTGTGGAGCCGAAGGTCCCCGACGGTTCCAGAATCAGCTGTCAGACCTGATAAAAGAACCAAAGTTTGGTGGTTTCGCCCCAAAATAAGGTTTAAAAAAGCCTTTTTCCACACAGGTTGTACCTCTGTGACGCACCAGCAACACGATTTGCTGCATATTTCGAGATATCTGATGAGATATTTGTCACCGAACCACCGGCGTCAGCGTCTCTGGTCGCTGTCAGATGAGTTTTATTGCAGATTTCGCTTCGTTTAAAGTCCGTTTGCAGCAACGAAACAAACGAGCTTCATTACGAACCAAGCGGCTGAAAACCGAAGACAACACGAGGACACTCAGAGCAGCTTCTTTACATCGTCGGCTGCCGTCGCTTCCATAAGAAGTTTGCTTTGTGGTCTATAAATAGACGTCAATTATGCACTCAGACTGCCGGCGGTGTAATTGGCTGCTGCGAGTCGCTGCTGGAAGCAAAGTGGTCG